TCAATAGGATGCAAACGTGACTTGGACGAAGGCGACATGATGATCCGATGATCAACACCTTAAGCAAGACCCTAGAAGCACAAGAGAGGATCCAAGATATCAAGCAAAGTTCAAGCACGAAGATAAGAACCAAGCCGGACGCAACATCACGAAGAAACGAGCTCCACAAAGGTGACCGGACGTGGCCCTATGAGGACCGAACACGTCCGATCAGTTGCTCAGCAACAACAGGCGTCAGCAGCAGTGACCGGACGCTGAGCGAGGCAGTGACCGGACTCACGGAGTTCACTGTTCATCGTCGTGGCAACAACTCAGTGAGGACCAGACGCACAAAGTGTAGCGTCCAATTATGTCCAAAGGTTCCAGAGCGGCACAAATGCGACCGGACGCGTCCGGTCGACGATGACCGAACTCGGCAGTGCGTCCGATCTTTACGCGCGCGCTCAACGGTCGGGACGACCGAACGCGTCCGGTCAAGACGACAGCAGCGTCCGGTCAGTAGTAGAAAGCTGGGTTTCGCCTCCAACGGCTACTTTCTCTATGTGGCTTATAAATGGACCCCCAGCCGGCCATTTGAATGTGGAGAGCTGAGAAAACATACCAAGGGTGTTGATACACTATTTTAGTGATCTCTACTTGTATAGTGCTTAGTGATTCATTAGGTGATTAGCGTAGGCGCTTTGTGAAGTGCTTAGGTTGATTAGACCATCGCTTATGCGCTTGATCTAGGTTTAGGTCTAGTGTTTAATGAGGTTTGCACACCTCTTACCACTCGGTGCTTGCGCTCACCATTGTTGTACATCGGAGGGGCTTGTAGTCTTGCGAGATCACACCAACCGTGTTTATAGTGTGGCCGCCACCATGTACCAAAGGGAACAAGGCCCACGGAGGTTCGGCCGAAAACTTGATAGTGAAGACGGCGAGAAGCTGTCCGGGAGAGACTTGCCGGAAGGCACACTGGAGACCCACTTGCGCGTGGGGAAGGCCCGGGGCTATCCACGGAGTTACCCGACCGAGAGCTTCGTCCTTGCGAGGGATTCCTTGCGATGGGCTCCAACGAGAAATAGGGAGAAGCTTGCGCGCTTCTCGATTCCTTATTAAAAATACCGGAGTCGTCGACGGGAGTTTGCATATCTCTACCTTACTCTTTAGCTTTCGCATTTATATTGCAATTTTGGTTTGTGCTTTACTTTCCTAGCTTAGTGATAGACTAGTTGATAGGTTTGGAACCTACGTTGCATAACTCCTTTTTACGGTAGAGATAACAACACACTAGCTAAACCGTAGTTACATATCTATATAGTTTATCTTTTGCATAGGTTTTTGCTAAGGATAGAAAAAGTGGTCATAGTTTAGAGTTAGAGTTTTAAGTTGCCTAATTCCCCTCCCCCTTCTTAGACGTCACGGTCCCTTACATCGTTGACTTTAAAAATACCATATTAGATAAAATGCAATGAAACATGAATATAACAACTATCCTCGATGTATTCTAGTGTTTCAAAGACATTTCATTTCATGACTCATCAAGAGTTGAAAACCGAGCCAATAAAATTTCATCCTATGAAACTCTGTCTTTTTAAAACATTGCTACATCATCAATTAAGTGCGGATGAAATCCGAATGAAACTCACATTGAAACTAGCCTAAATGCCATAAAATTCTTGTTTCCAGCCTGACTCCAGCATCTCTCACAATGTCATTGATCTTCACGATTAGATTAAGGGCTTGTTCATTTAGCCTTGATTCCAGGGGGAATTAATCCAGGTGATCAAATATTATATAAATTATCACTACATTCCTGGTTGGAATAGTTCCAGACCTCCATTCCGTATGAACGGAACAGGTCCTAACTCAGTAGATGAAGCATGCTCCGTTCCTTCCGTAATTCACAGAAAACTAGAATGATAAGTGATCGATGACCTGTGATTGTGGTGCTTGGGATGTAAATAACTGACCTACGTCGACCGTTCTGCAACCATTGTGAATTGCTCCCAAGAGGATCTTTGCCACAAGCCAAGAGAAGACGAGGTCCCAGATCCAGGTGGAGTAGCTGCATTGAAGAGCGGGTTCTACAGAGGGGATAGACTGCGAGTAATGAGACTGCAACATATACGATTCCAGAAGCCAGGAGAGAATTTACGCTTGTGGTGCCCAAACGCGTCAAATCAGTTTGTCCAATGTCTCCCACAATCTGAGCCAAATATGCCACAGATAAACAGTCCAAACCTATCTCTGCCAATTCTATCAGGGAGTAAGAATTGTTCAGAGTAACTGATCTTGGGAGATGGCTCAACCACACAAGCAAATTATATAACCTCACCAAGGCAGCAAGGCTCAAAGGCAACATGCGCATCCTCTCAAAAGAGATTAAAGAACATTCAAAAACGAGTTACCAAGCATATCATACATACATCTCAGCAAGTAGTTTTCAGGATCACAGGAGTGAAATTTAACATCCAAACAAAACAATGCCCCCCTAATTATTGTCAACAGTTTAATTAAGGCTAGCTAATGCGAGGTTCAAATTTCTGACAAACTGATAGCACGATCAGCAAAAGATTAAGGCAAACAGCTAATAACGCTTGTCCAAACGTCTCACTCACACTGGTAAACTTTGGCATCAATTCCCAAATGATAAGAAAATATCTTGTTCATTGAAATCTGGCTTCTTGCAGTTTTAGTCAGAATAAAGCTACAAATTAAGATGCTCACGCAATTGATATTCTGCAGATATTGTCAGTGCACAAGGGAAGCAGCATCTTCCAAAGAAGAGCCACTAAGGTATACTCCATATAACTGCTTTCTGTTACCCATCTACATCATGCCTGGCCAAACTCCGTCAAACCTGGAGGACTACACGTCCACTCATACAATATGTGATATATATCTTTTTTTTAACGAGAATTAACTCTGCTTTTAAGAAAGCAATATGTGATATATATCTATCCACCAAGTCTCATGTTTTCTGCTTCTGCCTCTGTGCAGGAAATCCCACGTCTGTCTAGGCGATCAACCCACGTGAAAAGCATCGAATTATTCACTCTGAAAGAGAAAAAAGATAAAAGAGAATCATATTCAATTGAACGAGAATAACTTTTCATAAAGAAATACAGTGCGCCAATAGTACTTGCAGCATCTTCATGATGGATATGCTGTTCATATTTTTTAAGAAAAAAACATGCTAGAAAGCTGTGAACTATATGGTTTTAAATCTACATACATGCCTAAAAACACAAAGGCTTGTAAGCTGATTTACAGGGAAAGATGTGTTGTGGTCCTCAAATGCTTTCCCTAGTAACACAAATCCAAGTCCCACAGCGTTATAAGGATCAAATATTTGACACTAGAAAACAAATAAAAACCCTACACCATGTTTTCCTTATTATTCACATTTGACCACAAAAAAAGTTATAATCTTTGACCAATAGCATAACTTGCGCTTCTCTTAAAAGAGAAGAGAAGAAACCTTATTGGGAACTAACCTTACAATCAAACAAAGTAAAATCCTAGCCATCAAAATCAGCTGAACTACTACTAGTAGTAAAGAGATGACGGTTAAGTCATGTGACGCCTAACAAATTTGAATGAAGAAAGAGAACAAGGCAATTCTTCAAAAGAGGAGAATCGGATGCTTGATTATCTAAAAAAATCTTTTTGGAGTATATATCCATTGGGCCTATAAAAGAAGGCACGAAAACATCACAGCTGCAAACTACCAACCTAGCAATTCCCACTTTCTTACATTTTCTCAATACCTTAAGCAAGCAACAATGTCTCAAGCCCAGCCCCTTCGTTTCCAGGCCCAGAGGAAACACGTCAAATTTCAGGATAGCCAAGCCAATGCTATGAAGGAACCAGGAACCAGTGGGTATGGCTATGGGATGAAAGATGACAAGAATAAGGATGTGGATACAACAGCTTCGGACTTCATCAAGCTTAAGCACAGGGCTTGGGCACTCCAGAAGAGCACAACCATGTACCAACCTTCTACTTAAAGGTGTCGCTAGTTCAAGAAGTCGATACTATATACTTATGCTTGTATCTATATAGTCTATAGGTCCTAGATCAAATAATAGATGCTGCTTGCAGCCTTGGATATTTGCGGAGCGAAGTTACCATGGCATTGTTGATAGAATACAAATAAGAAAGTAATGTAATTATGTGGAGATGTGTAATTATGATACTGAGGCTTTTGTGATACTGCTAGTTGATTTGCTTCTATTTGGAAATTGGAATAGTAAAGCATCGAGCATACATATTCTTCTAATTATTAGCCAACTCCATGATCAGATAAGAAAAAAACTGCACTCATCAAACAGATTTGACAAGAAAGTTGTAGTAGCTACAAGTTGAAGGGTCTTGACATGCTCATATGAGTACCCCAATAAATCAAGATATCATTGAAGCATACAGCATCTCCCAAGGTTCTGGACATGCGGAGCTGTAACTCCACAGTCCACAGGACGTTTATTTTGTAAAATTGTCATGTTAAAATGCATCAGACATTACACCAGATCAAATGATTGTGGCATGTAGTAATATTAAGCAATACTGCTGGTGGTTGCAATCATATAGTCTTATTTGTCAAAGCATTTGCTTTTCAGAGCTCCTGAAATTGATAATCGCCAGTATAGTAAACATGGTGTTCAAACTCTGAGCAAGTGCTTTGATTCATTTTAGTCATTTTGAAGGAAAATCCATCTGCATAGCTGCAACGATACTAGCAAGTAGCAACAATGACCAGTACGAAAAACAACAGTTTCCAGGACGTGCCAGTGGGCACCTTCCTCTTAAGCTAAGTTACAGGGGAATATGCCAGCAGGTCATGGGCTGGGAGTAGCATATACTAAAATCCGACTTAGTTGAACCATACGTCATTAGAAGATGAAGTATTTGATAAAAGTATCCAATACCAAGGCAACTTAAAAACAAAAAGCTAGCTAGCATGCAAAGCTAAGGGTTCACCATAATCTCACCAATCATTGCTTGCTTGAACCCAATCAAGAGGCAGAGGCACTCTCAACTTTTATTGATTCAAACAGTTTGGTGACATGGGGGTGCTTGCGGATGTGGTTAGGGCATTTGTACAGTAAATCTTGAGCTTCAGAATATCTTCCCTCCGCAAAGAACAACTTGAGAACATGCAGGTAGGCAGCAGGTGCTGGAGAAGTATTCACTGTCAAGGCCTTGAAAAAGTTCCTTGCATCTTCAACCGTCCCATGCTTGGCAATGTAAGGAGGGAATGGGTCCGCGAAAGGTGGGAACTTGCAGGTTTTCATTGTCTTCAGAAGGGCCAGTGCCTCGTCAAGTTTGTTTACCCTCAGCAAGTCATCAATTAGACGCCGGCAAGTGCCTTGCCAAGGCCTCAACTCAGCCTTATCCACCATCTCAACAAACAAAGAGTAAGCCTCTTCAACCTTTTAATGGCTACACAGACCTTTCAATATCACATCCAGCAAATTGGCATCCGCGTCCAAGCCCTTCTCGATCATCTCAGTGAAGTACTGCACAGCTCTGTCCACATCCCCAGCTGAACAGTACCCTTGGATCAACAAGGTCCAAGTCTTCAAATCTGGGACACATCAAGCACCTTGCGAGCATCCTCCAGCTTTGTGAAGGGCAATGATCGGTTTCGCAATAGATGCAAATAAGTTGGGCATATAGAGCAATATTGCAAGACTAACAAGAACAGGCAACCTAATGTATCCTCAATTAGATTTGATTCTTGTTACATGCTTGTTAAGGATGTCAATGGTGTGAAGACTAAGTTTATTGGTACACCAATTGTGGGCCCAAAGAAAAAGACCATTTGTGTATCAAAGACCTTGGTAACTAACTTTTAAGGACCCAAGCAAGTTTGGGTACCTAAAAAGAATTGATCTTCTTTTGTAGGTCAATTATAAAGCCGAAGGAAGGCATTTGGTGCTTGATAGTGGGTGCACACAACACATGACTAGTGATCCAAGAATGTTCAATTCAATCGATGAAAATAAGAGCAATGGGATTGATAGTATCACATTTAGTGACAATGGTAAAGGCAAGGTCAAAGGTCTTGATAAGATTACAATATCCAATGACTTGAGCATTTTCAATGTGCTACTAGTAGAGAGCTTGAACTTCAACCTATTATTGATAGCTCAATTGTGTGATTTTAGTTTTAAATGCATATTTGGTGTGGATGATGTAGAGATCATAAGTGTAGATGGCTCTAACTTAATATTCAAAGGATTTAGATATGAGAATCTATACTTGGTTGATTTCAATGCTAGAGAAGCTCAATTGTCAACTTGTTTGCTCACTAAGTTTAGCATGGATTGGTTATGGCATAGAAGACTTGGTCATGTTGGAATAAAATAATTGAACAAGTTGATCAAGCATGACTTAGTTAGAGGCTTAAAAGATGCCACATTTGAGAAGGATAAGCTATGTAATGCATGTCAAGCCAGAAAGCAAGTTGGTAACACACATCCTAAGAAGAGCATGATGAGCACATCTAAGGTATTTAAGTTGGTGCACATAGACTTGTTTGGACCAACCACATACACTAGCATTGATGGAAACAAATACGAATTTGTGATTGTGGATGATTTTACTAGATACACATGTGTGTTCTTTCTTGTTGACAAAAGTGATGTGTTTGCAACCTTCAAGACATTCATCAAGAGAATTCATAATGATTTGAAACAACCATCATGAATGTGAGAAGTGACAATGAAAGTGAGTTCAAGAACACAAGAGTGGATGATTTATGTGATGAGTTTAGAATTATGCATCAATTTTTGGCCAAGCATACTCCACAATCAAATGGCCTAGTTGAAAGAAAGAATAGAACTTTGATTGACATGGCAAGATCAATATTGGGTGAGTACAATGTGAATCATTCTTTTTGGGCCGAAGCAATCAACACGGCTTGCTATTATAGCAACCGACTCTATTGTCACCTCATGATGGAGAAGACACCTTATGAACTATTGAATGGAAGAAAGCCCAATATAGCATATTTTGGGGTTTTTTGTTGTAAATGCTACATATTGAAGAAAGGCACTAGATTGAGCAAGTTTAAAAAGAAACATGATGAATGTTTCTTACTTGGTTACTCCACTACTAGCAAGGCATATAGTGTTTGGAATTTCGCTAGTGGTACTCTTGAGCAGGTTTATGATGTGGAATTTGATGAAACAAATGGTTTCTAAGAGGAAGATGAGAATCTAGATGATGTGAGAGACACTCAATTAGTCAATGCAATAACGAACATGGACATTGGTGATATAAAACCTAGAGAGGTGATTGATGTTGAAGATGACAAGAATCAAGTGCTCTCTAACTCAAATGTACAAGCTAGTGGTTCTCAAGATCAAAGTCAAGCAAGTGCTTTTGTTGACAAAGTGCAAGATCAACAACAAGTGGCTAGTTCATCATCTCAACCAAATGATCGATCAAATGTAAGCAATCAAGTGCAAGTGCTCTAACCAACCAATGTCGCAAGAGATCATCCTTTAGACTCTATAATTGGTGATATTTCTAGAGATGTACAAACAAGATCTAAATTGGCATCATTTTGTGAACATTTCTCATTTGTGTTATCCATTGAACCTAAGAAGATAGATAAAGCTTTAAAGGATGTTGATTGGGTCAATGCTATGCATGAAGAGCTAAACAACTTCAAGAGAAATAAAGTATGAGAGTTAGTTGAGAGGCCTATAGATCATAATGTAATTGAAACCAAGTGGGTCTTTCGAAACAAGCAAGATCAAGATGGGATAGTAATAAGGAACAAAACAAGATTAGTGGCTCAAAGTTACACTCAAATTGAAGGTCTTGACTTTAGAGAAACATATACCCCAGTTGTAAGATTGGAAGCAATTAGGATCTTGTTAGCCTATGCTTGTGCCCACAATATCAAGTTGTACCAAATGGATGTGAAGAGTGCATTTCTCAATGGGTACATCAATGAGCTTGTGTATATTGAGAAATGCTTTGTATGGATTAAAACAAGCAACAAGAGCATGGTATGAGAGATTGAGGGATTTCCTACTCTCTAAGAGATTTAAGATGAGAAAGATTAACACCACTCTCTTCACCAAGAAGCTTGGAAATGACTTATTTATATTACAAATCTATATTGATGATATCATATTTGGGTCAACAAATCAATATTTTTATGAGGAGTTTGGCAAGATGATGGCAAATGAGTTTGAGATGTCCATGATTGGAGAGCTTAGTTACTTTCTTGGTCTTCAAATTAAGCAAATGAAGAATGAGACATTTATGAGTCAAGGCAAGTACATCAAAGACATGCTCAAGAAGTTTGGAATGGATGATGTTAAAGCTATTAGTACACCAATGGGGACAAATGGAAGCGTGGATAGTGATGCAAGTGATAATATGATGGATCAAAAATTGTATCGGTTTATGATTGGAAGTCTACTCTATGTGACCGCATCAAGGCCGGATGTTATGTTTAGTGTATGCATGTGCGCAAGATTTCAAGCCTCACCAAGAAAGAGAATATTGAGGTACTTGAAGCATACACAAAATATTGGTTTGTGGTATCCCAAAGGAGCAAAGTTTGAACTAGTTGGTTACTCCAACTCGGATTATGCGGGAAGCAAGGTTGAAAGGAAGAGCATCTCGGGCACATGTCAATTGTTGGAAAGATCACTTGTTTCATAGTCATCAAAGAAGCAAAATAGTGTTGCATTATCAACCGCCGAAGCCGAATACATATCCGCCGGTAGTTGTTGTGCACAAATACTTTGGATGAAGGCCACCTTGAGTGACTTTAGAATCAAGTTCGAGAAAGTGCCATTGCTATGTGACAATAAGAGTGCAATCAAGTTAACCAACAATCCGATTCAACATGCAAGAACAAAGCACATTGATGTCCGCCACCATTTCATAAGAGATCACCAACAAAAAGGGGACATTTGTATTGAGAGTGTAAACACCAAAGATCAACTTGCCGATATATTCATCAAGCCATTGGATGAGAAAAGATTTTGCAAGCTAAGGAATGAGTTGAACATATTGGATTTCTCAAATATGTGTTGATGCACCCCCACTTATATGACATGCCTCTCCTTCGAGCAATCCAAGGCAAAAGTTGATTGGCATGGCATACATCCTTGCTAAGGACTTGTTTAGTGCATCTAGACATCTTTCACATTTAAGAGGCTCATTTATGAAAATTAAATAATTTTGATGATTGTATAGTACCACTATTGCTTCTATGCTTAAATTGGTCTAGTGGTAGCATATGACATGTTTGTGGCCTTGTAAACCTAATGTTTGATCTAGAAAATGAGCTCTAAGTGTTTGACTCAACATGGTACAAGATAACCCTTATTTGGAGGTGTGAGGAAGCTTGTCCTTGGATCAAACCGAGTTAAATGTCTTTGGCAAGTATTCTAGATTGAACTATATTTAGGAAAATGATCCTCACCCCATTGATTGACATTGATAATCTCAACCTATCTATATTTTGAACCTTTATGGTCATTGATGACAAAGGGGGAGAAATAGTGTACAAAGATAGTGAAAAGAGAAATTGAGAAATTGACATAGGAGGAGAGATATGATAAAGGAAGGGGATCAATCAAAATTACACACAACTAGGGGGAGCAAGCTCATAAACTTGGTGGATGCATTTGAATGTGCATTTCATATGTTTGCTTGCATGGCACAAGTTTTAAATTTCAATATACATTCTTGTTTGGTGTATGCTAGTTGTAGGTTTGAATGATGAAATGAGGAACTATCATGCATAGATTAAATAACTAGACTAATGCTCACATTATGGAAACTAGACCCTTACTTTTAATATTGATCTCATAGGGTATTCTAGTTTTTGCGTATGTCTAGTTACTAATGGTGCTAAGGATGGTATATTGGTGCACTCCGATTGGTATCACGCTTCAAAGGTCCATCTCTTATATCTTAGCATCATTTGGTACACATTGACTCCTATATTTTCTATCTAAGCATATGTGCAAGCTACAATCTAAACTCTTAGCACATATGTAGGGGGAGCAATCCCTACCATATGGGATTCATGAAACTTTTCTATATCCTTTTACACATGGTAAATATGCTTGGGCAAGCAACATGGATTCAATTGAATTTCAATTTATATCTTTGTGAAAGGGTTGTCATCAATTACCAAAAATGGGTGATTGAAAGCTCTAGTTTGGTTTTGGTGAATTGATGAAACCCTGAGTGCTAATCTAGTTTATCAAAGTGATTATGAGATAGGTAGCACTACTCTAAGTGATGAAGCAAATGAAGATTATGACATGATAATGGCGATGGCATGGTGATGATCAAATGCTTGGACTTGAAAAAGAAGAAAGAAAAACAAAAAGCTCAAGGCAAAGGTGAAATTGATAGG